TATAATTATTATTCATCTGATCCGCCGTCGCTTGTCTTCTCCAGAAGACTCGGCGCCTCCGCCAGAGATCGGTGTCGACTCTGCAAGTTTCGAGTTGGATTCGGCTACGAAGTCGAAATCGTTCGTCGGGACGGAGGGCTATGTGGCACCGGAGATCATACTAGGGAAGGGCCACGACTTCGCCGTGGACTGATGAAGTCGCCGGAGCTCACCACCGTTGAAGGACTTGAACGGTTATATATGTATATTATATATATATATATATATATATAGACAAGGGTGTTTTACGAATTTTAGAAAAAATAGTAGATGATGTCATTAATTTTCGTTGTTGACTGGCGTTGACTGTAACGAAAGGGAGGTCCGTGTAGGATATTTTTAAAAGTAGAGGAGGTCCGCGTAATTTCTGAAATAGTAAGGGTGGTCCTTGTAATTATGACAAACTATAAGGGCTAGTTTGGTATGATAGAATGGAATAAAAAAAAAAAAATAGAATGAATTTTTTTCCATTCTCGTGTTTGGTGCCAATTTTAAAGTTAGAATCATCATTCCCCACTATTATTGGAGAATGACTATTCCATCAAAATCATTTCATCTTTCAACAAAAGGAAAGACTATTTTATTCCATTCCCCACCTCCATTCTAATTTCATTTCAATTCATTACATCACATCAAACTAATAGTAAAAAAAGTTTGTGTAAATTACTCATTAATTTATAATATTGATTCAAGGTTCAGTGTACAAGCTCACCCCTTTTATCAGCAGACACTTGCAATCCTCAACAGATTCTCAAACTCAAAAGGTCAGATGGCTTTAAGAAAATTCAAAAATTTAAAGTTTTATTTGCAATGAATAAAATATATTCCCAAACACAATGTCCCAATTACAACCTTCCCCCTCCCATTTGAGGGCCAAGGCCCAGAGGTTGGGATATAGTTTTATGGTAGTATTCGGCGAGAAACTCCTCTACTCGCAAAGTTTGTTAAAGTATTCGTTCAAATTGGCTTGTTTCTTTTAAAGGAAAAAATGACTTAATTAGTCTTTAAAATCATTTACTCCATAATATCTCAAAACGTAATCTCACATCCCAGTTTTTAAAAAATATTTATGTCATTTATTTTATTAGAAAAGTCAAGTTGAATAATGCTCGAATACTTTTATAAAATATCACACATAAACACATGTTTGTATATATACATGTATATGTATGCAGGTATGTTTTTAGTATTGATTATTGGGGGCAATGATGGGCTTAAGGAATGGTCTCACTTTGGAACGATCGTAAGTCAAGTTTCTACATTATGATTTTTCCATGGAAGCCTCTAAAAGAGTCGTTCATGGCTTGCTTTATCTCTAGACTTTTTTTTTTTTCGGAATTTAAAGAATAGACTTTGGGGTTGGTTGTCTTGTAACCAAAAGGTCAATAACTTTTACCTACGTTCATATATATATATATATATACACACACACAATACACACTATATAAAAATAATATTGAATCAAAATGGTAGCACGGGCCTTATGTCCACATCTCATCATGTAACAAAATATGGTTAAAAAAGCAAGAGACATTGAGAGCCACAAGAAAACTCCAAACGCAAAAACTCTCATAAAACGCGTGGACCTCTCCCATTACTTAGTCACCACCTATTTTACTGCCAACCACGGGAATCTTGTCGTGTGTATTTAATAGGTTAATGAAGTTTGAAAGTGAGACTAAAGACTAATTTGGTGTGTTAAAATGAATTGGAATGAAATAAGAATAAAGGTAGAAATAAAATGAGAATAAGATGGAATGGTCATTTCTTTTGTTTGAAGGTCGAATGATTTTGATGGAATGACTATTCTCTAAAAATAGTAAAAAATAATTATTTTAACTTTAAAATTGACATAAAACACGAGAATTGAAAAAAAAAAAAATTATCCCATTCTACTTTTTTTTATTCAATTCTACTGCACCAAACTAATCTTAAGAACTTATCTTCCAAATTCCTTCTAACGCGCTTTGTCCTGACGGCTTCTCTCTCCATAATAGATAGCCTTTTGGGACTAGAAATTTTTCGGGGTATATTTAATTAATGCATTATTTTTTAAAAAAAAATTTGTAATAATATACATATAATTAAGTTTAAATTTTTTAAAACTTCAAAGGCAACCAGAGCATCATAAAATATTTTGTTTGAATTTTGTAAGTAAACAAGTATTTTAAGGCAACTGAATAAAGATGTACAACTATTATTTTGAATTTAGTGAGTGGAAAATATTTTGGAACAATTCAAAAAGAAAAGATGGACAACTAAATTAGAACGGAGAGAGTATTAATTTTGGTAGATGATACTAGCGCTCCTACCGTAACTCCACTTTCATTATCTCTTAAAAATAATTCGAAAAAAAATCCCAAAATTCATAATTGTTAATTCCTACATTTCTCAATACCACTATTACCCTTCACTAAGTTAGCAGTCCTCTTGAAATTCACGTTCCTTAATCAAATTCTCTCTCTCTCATTCTCTATCTAAATCTACGAATCAATGACCCCAACAAATATGAATCATTCTCTTACAATATTGAGATTATATGTAAATTATTTTAGTACTTGATACAAATTAATGATAATCTTCTTATTGCCCCCAACAACTAATTTTATAAATTCTTAATTTGGGGAGAGAAATCACACTTACACAATACTTGACAGAGAAAAAAAGAGATCTCAACTACAGCACAATTTGAGAATAAATTATAGATATTTTTCTTTCTTTTGTTTTCTTACTCTTCTTCTCTTTTTCTTTTTTCTTTTATGAAGTCGGAAATTCTTCAATAATGCTTTTTATAAATTGATGTTGGGGATGGAAATAGATGCTTTAGAGCACATTATCTCAATTTTTTTGTAAGACAATTTCTAACCCCAATTCTGATTCCATTTGAATTCTTAGAACGACCTAATCTAAAACATATCTAATACTTGTTAGGTCTTTTTTTCTTTTTAGCTTTTTTGTAATGTGATAAACTTGGTAAAACCAATCAATTTGGGTAATTGATTTCAGGTATGTAGAGAATGCGAGTGAGAAGTTAAGGTAACGTGAGAGAATATAATGAAATAAAGTTCAATAAAACTCCTAACCATAATAAAGAAGGGTAATAATGGCATTAAAAATGTGCTTTAATTTTTCTTATTTATAGCCTGCCATATTATTTCATAAACTTGGGCCACATATTCAATAAATTTTTAAATACTTTGTAAAAATATAATTAATAAGTATGTAATATTAAAATACAATAAATAAAAAGAAAAGCTTAAGGGATACAAATGGTATGAGCACTAATGGTTGTTCCTTAGCTGTTTTCATATATCGTATTGGGATGAAACAGTCGGTATGAGCACTAATGGGAACTTGTATCATATTCGAGTTTCATAAGTTGATAGCGATAGGATTAATGTGACCCCAAATATATTCCACGAATCTATTTGTTTGAAATCCACGTCGTATATAATAAATTCTCTGATCTCAATTTACTTCCGTTACCTTTCTACGAATATTAATATTCTTTTTCATCATCTTTTAAAACTAAAACAAATTTTATTTCTCAAATTATAGATATACTGGCCTTCAAGTCATGCAAAATAAGTTATCAAAAGTGTTTTTTTATTTTTATTTTTTGATATTCAAAACATAATTTCAACGCTGCATCATTTTTCTTATGCTACCTAACACAGGTAGTAGAAAGCCAGGGAAGGTAAAATTGCACCTTGAAGACATTAATATGTGTGTGTGTGTATATATATATAGGTTATGTTCAAACATTTTGTCAGGTTTAATTTTTATTTGCTACACTTTTCACAAACTAACAACTAATTAAAATATTAAATTTTAATTACCGAAAAATAAAACGACTAAATGAATTTCATATCTTGTGTGGTTTAAAAAAGGCTTAATTAATTTATGGATGAGATCTAGTAGTCATCAACACTAAGGTTTACAACTTTACATTAACAGGAATAACAAGTTTGCTTAGCTTTCGGGGATAAAAACAATAACTAGTTTCCTTTTAGGAGTGAATATATATATCTACTTTCTTTTTTTGGAAAGTAGATTTATGCAATTTACTTTCAAAATCCCAACAAATCTCAGAATTAGACATGACGTATTAAATTTCATTACTCCCAGTCCCACCACAAATAAATTTATAAGCGTGCAAGATCATCCATCTCTTTGTAATATTAACTATCATCATGACTTTTGCAACAAAACAATGTAATAATAATAATAACTCCAGTAATCATACCAAAAAACAACTTCCTTTTCTCTCTGGGAAGTTTACCAAAAAAGGAACTTGTTTACTCACTACCTTATTTTTTAATTTTATTTTTTTATTGTTGTAATGATGCCAGACACCAATTTTTTATTTTTTATCTCGTAGTAATAAGGTTACTAAAATAAAATAAAATAATAATAATACATTATCGTTTAATTGAAATTATGTTCATATTTAATGATATCTATTTTATTCATAACAGTCAATCGTCATTGTATTTTCATTGTTCGTCAAATTTTTAGACTCTAAATAAATAATTTATTTATTTTTTAATTAGAAAAACTCAAATATGCTTAAGAATTTATATTCATCCAAATTTTAAAAGACTTAAAATCTTTATTATAAAAATTAAAAATTACATATTCCCTTTCTCCCAAATTTTTTTTTTTTTCACTATGAATCTCACTATGATTCAACGGTGCCACAGTGAAAAGAATAGGCCATTTAGAGGTTGTAATGAATGCCAAAACGAGCCGACATTATATCGGCTCGGTCCCACTGTTCTATGTCCAAACCAGTCGTACCTGAAAATTCCCACAACCAATAAAATATCAAACCGACTGAAACTTTCTTACTTGAGGGGCAAAATTGAAAAATAAAATAAAAACTGACGTAAAACGGTAAAAGTACAATATATTTAGCCCCCAAGAAAGACGTAAACTTTCAATTTAACACCCTTCTCATTTTCTCTCTCTCTCTCCACAAAATTGTGCAGAGACAGCAATAACAGACCCCTCAACTGATAATTTTTTTCAAGCCCGTGTGGAAACATGTGTGTGTTTTTGTGTGTGTGATATATATAAATATATACTATACATAACAGACCTGAGAAAACCATGGTTCTAAGCAACCAAAAGATTAGCTCAAAGCCTAGTTGCTGACCGGTAACTATCTGCCCTTAAATCTTGCTTTCAAATCTCATACCCTGAACGTCTTTCCGATTAGGTCAGATTTCAAAATCTTCTGAATCGGATTTCCTTGCAAAATCTATGGACGTTTGACATCAATTTTTTTCGTTCTTGTTTACAGGTGCGTTGTCCCATTCTTCCTCTGGAAAAATTCAAAGCAGATTTGAGTTCTCTGAACCGCTTCCCTCTCCGCTTCCTCTGTTTTTGCTTCAAACAGACTTTTTCAGAGTGATTAAATTGATGGGTTCACCAAAGAAGTTGTTAATGTTCATGCCCTGTTTGGATTTCTGAATAATGGGTTCTGCCAACCACTTTCTCTACCAAAAATTGCTTCTCTTTTTCACAACTTTCTGCTTCTCTGTCTTGCTTCCTCTGTTTGGTTTCATCACAACATATATCTTTAGGTATTGAATGTTTTCTCTTTTGTTCATTCTTTTTGAATTTCTTTTTATTTGTTTATTTATTTTTAATTGATTGATTTTATTTTGTTTGATTATAGATTCAAAAGAAAAGACATTTGTGTAAAGACCAATTCAAACTATTCGCTGGTTACTTCAGAAGTGGACAATCAAGATGGTTCTAATTGTACTTTTCCAGAGACAGAGTCGTCCAAACCAGAGTTGGAAGCCAAACGAGACGTGCTTGATTTTTCGGATTCAGAGACCGATGGATTTGTCGAAAAAGAGAAACCCAATTTCTCTTTCAGCTTCAAATTTCCCACTTTCGAAGAATTTAGCAGAAACAATGGAGGAAATTTATCTTCTCTTATCTCCGAAGAAGAAGTCCCCACCACCAGTACTAATAAGTACGAGTTCATGTCTGTGAAGGGTTTTAGCGGAGTAATTAAAGAACCAGAGATTTTAAGCTTTACGGTAAAAGAACTCAATACTGGTACTAATGGTGGTTTTTTGGGTGATAAAGATAGTGTTCATGATGGGGATTTTTCGGTGAACGATTTTACTCAACTTAATTCTGATGCAGAAGGTGTTCATGAAGAATTACCTCGGAATTCAATTAATGGTGTATGTAGCGAAGAGAAAATTGAGGCAATGACAGTGAAAGAAGAGAAGGAAGAAGAGTTAAATGCAGAGAGCGAGTTGCAGGGTGATGATGATCTTTCCGATGAACTTCAGTTTCACTCTGAAAAGAATTCAATTGCTACGAATTCTGACTCAGACTCAGTAGGTTTGAATCATTTGCATTTGATTATGAGTCGTTTTGTTGATTCATGTAGTGATGGGTTTTTATCAGATGGAGATTTTGGAGGAGAATTTGAACTTGATGATTTGATGGGCATGGATGGTGAGAAGTTAGAATCACATGAAGAATTCTCAGCGAGTTCACGACACGAATCAGATGACTCTGATGAAGAAGATAGTGATATACGGGAAGAGCTAAGGCAATTAGAAGAGGCTAATTTGGAATATTCAGAGAAATTTAACTCCGAATTTCTGTCTGAGAAAGATTTTCATGAAGACTTGGACAAATCCAAAAATGAAAAATCTGAAGAGCCCAATTCAAAGAGTTTATCAGCCTTGGATTCTGAGGATTCAAACAAGTTAGAAACACTGTGGGAACATCAAGAATTGATTGAGCAGTTAAAGATGGAGCTTAAAAAGGTCAGAGCCACAGGGCTTCCCACAATCCTAGAAGAATCCGAGTCTCCGAAAATAATGGAAGATCTAAAGCCATGGAAGATTGATGAGAAGTTTCAGCATGAAGATCCTATGGACGAGCTTCACAAGTTCTACAAGAGCTACAGAGAGAGGATGCGGAAATTTGATATCTTGAATTATCAGAAAATGTATGCAATAGGTCAGTTACTTGATTTTTCCCCTTCCATTACTATTATTATTTTTAATTTAGATATCTTCAAGAATAATTTTGAACATCATTGTTTTTTGTAACCTTTTTTAATCAGTAGACATGAATAACACAACCTACCTTTCATAATTGTGATGTTAGGGAAAGGGACCACTAAATCTGGTTAGTTGGGTTTAGCACAAACACAAAAAACATGAACATGTTCAGTTCCTAAGCATTAGAATGATGGTAAAGTATTTGTGAATGAGAGCGTGAAAAGACTTCTTCATAGAGAGCGCGCGCGCGCACACACACACATGACAAACTCTAATGTGTGGTCTTTTTCATGCTGGTTTGCTTTTCTACAATTATGCAATCAACATAATACAGTAATGAGAAAAATGTTTCCCTCTTCCCTAATTTTAAAATTCTAGTATTTTGTAGGTTCACATCCATTACAAATAATGCCATCCAGCCTAAACTCTTTTACTTCTTTATCCACCCTTACATTGAAACATTATTATATTAATGAATGGCTTTACCTAACTACTATAATTGTTTTCTTGTCTGAAAACAATCTACCGTAGATTAAGTGGCCCACACAATCCTTTTTGGTCAATGGACGACTCTCGTGTACAATGTTTCATTAAGAATAGTAGTATAGCACACAATTTGACCAAATTCATACCATATTTTTCAAGCATTTAATATCAATCCATTCTGTATGACTTTTGGGATATGATTAAGGTATAAATGGCCTATATGATTATATTTAATTTAATTTTTTTAATTTATTTGACCCTCTTGTGTAACGTGTTTCATGACCATCCATAGGTTTTCTGCAGCTGAAAGATCCACTTCAATCAATTTCAAGGGAGAAATCTGCAGCCTCATCAATCACATTGACAACGCTTTTCTCACAAAATTCTAGTCAGTGCAAACGCAAGAAGTCTGAAACCGACCCTACAACGAACTTCATTAGAGAATTGCGGAGTGATTTGGAAGTGGTATATGTTGGGCAGATGTGCCTTTCTTGGGAAATCCTACACTGGCAATATGGGAAGGCCTTGGAGCTATGGGAATCCGACCCGCGTGGAATACGTTTATATAATGAAGTTGCTGGAGAGTTTCAACAGTATCAGGTGCTAACACAAAGATTCATTGAGGATGAACCTTTTCAAGGGCCTAGAGTCCAAAATTATGTCAAGAGTCGATGCGTTCTTCGTAATCTTCTTCAAGTTCCTGTTATAAGAGGTGAGTGTCTCTAAAACCCAAAAAAGGGATGAAAAACGGAATCCTCTTTTTTACTTATTCAGGGATAATCATGAGTCCATGGCCTACAATTGGGTGCTTGTTAACTTGCACAATCATCTTTGAGCTTGGTAGGCCATACACACTAAGACCAACCACTGTTGCTTTTCTTAAGTTTCTTTTTCATTTTTACTTTTAATGCTAATTTGTTCATATCTAAGACAAGAAGACTAAAGCCTAATCTGTCTGCAGAGGACTCTTCGAAAGATAGAAAGAAGGCAAGAAGAAGAGAAGGAGGTGAATATGCCATTACAAATGACTTGCTATTGGAGATCATGGAAGAATCAATACGAATATTTTGGCGCTTTGTTAAAGCTGATAAGGATTGCACAAATGTGATTCGAAGAGCAGTTGAGGTTGAACTTCAAGACCCTGCAGACACTGAGATTTTGATGGAGGTCCGAAAAAATCTTCAAAAGGTTAGCTTTTAACACTTGATAGATAGGATTATAAGTTTTCCGTTTGATGAAAGCATGGTATGCTCATTTTTTTCTTTCTTTTTATTGACTTGGATGAATGCAGAAGGAGAAGAAGCTTAAAGACCTTTTAAGGAGTGGAAATTGCATATTAAGGAAGTTCCGAAAGTGTCAAGAAGACGAATCAGATCACGTTCTCTATTTCTTCTCTCAAGTGGATATGAAATTAGTGACAAGGGTACTAAACATGTCTAGAATAACAACAGAACAACTAGTTTGGTGTCGCAATAAATTAAACAAGATTAGTTTTGTAAGTAGGAAGATTCAGGTAGAACCCTCATTTTTGCTCTTTCCATGTTAATATAATGTAGTATCGCTGTGTCACTGTTGTATCATGTCATTGAACACATTGATAATGTTATATGAGTAGAGAAAATAGATCCATTTTAGAAAAATTCCAAGTCTTTTGTGTGCCTCTCAATTTGATATATAATTTAGCAGCTGATTTACATGGTTCAGACTTCAGATTCAAGTCAATTTGATATTTACAAGCAAGGGGCAATATGAAAGAAATTTTACATTGGCATTATAGCATAAAATGCAAGTCACAAGCAATTTCTACATAATTGCTTTGAATATTAGTTTTGTAATTAAGCATTGATTTATGAAAATATATTTGTGGATGGACTAGTGATGCATTGGGAAGTCCAATCTTTGAATTTTGAGGCCCCACAACGACCTTCCAGATACTCGTTTTCGGGTTCGTGTTTCTTCTCCGGAGTTAATATTATTGGTTGTTGACTTGTGTGACATCCTAATGGCAAACACACTATTTCCACATTAGTATCTATTTCTTTATTATCATCAGTATTATAATTTTTATGAAAAATGATAGCTATAGAAGTTGGATCTAAACCCTAAACCCTATTTCGAAGATGGTTTCTCCCCGAAGTATATTATATCATGCGTAGTCCACGAAGTCACCTTTTTTTAATAAAATAATTTTATAATTTAGATAAAATAATGAAAATTTGTTAAGAATGGGTTAATAATAAAATTGGTTTCCATGTGTAGTCCCCGAAGTCACCTTTTTTTAAAAAAATAAAATAATTAAAAAAATTAGATAAAATAATAAAAATTTGTCAAGAATGGGTTAATAATAATTAAAAATAAAATAAAAAATTGTCAAGAGTGGGTTAATAATAATTTTTTAAAAATTAGAAAAATAATAAAATTTTGTCAAGAATGGGATTCGAACCCATGCCCTTTCGGACCAGTACCTGAAACTGGCGCCTTAGACCAACTCGGCCATCTTGACATTTTTGGCTTTTTTTACTGTTCTTTTTAATTATATATCAAAATATGACCCATTCGTTTGTTTATTCACAAACCATGCGCGAGCTTTAAGAAAAAATGAAAATTTGTTACTTACATCATCATGCATTCACCTCTTGAAGTCCTATTTTTTATTTTTTACCCACATCTACTTTTAATTTTAAGAGGGCTTGAAACCTCCATACCTTGTATCATCTTAAGATGTAAAGAAGTATTACTAAACTACCTTCATTGATTTCAAATTAGAATGATGTGCGCTTAATTTCATAGAGTACTCACACTTATTCTACCAAAATAATAATAAAATAGGTCAACATTTCATTTCAACCTTTATTTTATCATTATTATTTCTGTTTATTTAAGCCTTTGGAATAGTTTTTGAAAATTATATTTGTTGTGAAATTTAGAGCCCCCTTGTAGAGTTCACCATAAGTGATGATGTGTCACAATCCGATGATGTGTCATAATAGTCCGCTGCGAACTCCGCCAAAAGTAATATGTCACAGTAAAGTCCATCATAAAAGTAATATGTCACGGTAAGGTCCATCATAAGTGATAATGTGTCACAACCCCTCAAGTATTGCAATAGTCACATGTTACAATAAATGCAGTATTCAACAAATTTTGTCCAATTTAAATTAGGTAAATTTCACTTACCTCCTATTAGATTTGTCAACATCCCACATTTACCCTTCATGTTTCATAATTTTACTTACCTCCCTTATATTTCCATTTACCTCCCTATCAGTGGCCATAAGGTCAATTTTGCCCTTCTAGTGCCTGAAATTATAAACATTTTATGGGTAAAATGGTAAAATAATACACTATAAGGGTTGTAAATGAAATTATAAAATATGGAGGGATTTATGTGAAATATTGACAAACTTTATGGAAGGTAAGTGAAATTTATACATTAAAATAACACACTATAAAAGCATCCCCAACGCCTTCCTTCCAATTCATTATACACTTTAACTAAAGTGTAGAGCCACGTCTACACTTATTTTGGAGACTTAGAAGTTATTATTGTGCACTCATTTTTTCATTCTACACTTTATTATATTATTATTTAAAAATAAAAAAAAATTTTTTTTTTTTCCCAACGGTTTTATTCTCAACAACTATAATGCTAACGATTATAGCTGTTTGCTTCGATTATATTACATATATAAAAGAAAAGTGTATTACATAACTTTCTACAAATAAAATAAAACAATATAACTCAGGAAAAAAAGAAAAAAAATAATAAATTAATACGTCCGCACGTGTGATAATACAATGGGGTATTACCTATATGATGATATTTATCCCAAGTGGCCAACTTTGATTTAGACCATTCCGCACCAAACAACTAGCAAAGAGAAATTGTTTGCTAAAAAATAAGAAGCTGTTGGGAAAGATGTTGAACAAGCGTTTGGCGTGTTGCAGATCATGTGGGCTATAACGTAAGGACCTGTGCATTATTGGGATAAAGAAAATCTAAACAAGATAATGAGAACAATATCATATTGCATAATATAATATGATCATTGAAGTTGAGCGCAGACACATTTTGCAATGGACACCTTCGCCGGATGAGCCAATATCTCTCCCACAATACATTCGAAACTCGACAATGTTGGCGGCACACATTTCCAGTCGCTTTAGAAGAATTCCCAATAGAACGGATAATGCCGATCTCTGGAAACATCTAATGGAACATTTGCGAAATCAATTTGGTGATGAAGATGTTTAAATTTGGTATAATCGAATAAAATGTAATTTTTATATTATTATGCAAATTAATTAAATCATTATTGAAGATACATGAAGTTCTCCCTCTCAAATTAGAAAGAACAATTCCACACTTCAAAACTTTTCTCCTCCATTTTTCCCTCTGTTTTTAGTTTATTTATAAACTCTTACAGACCTTCTAGATATTTTCCAACTAACTTCTTGAACTGGGCTGTTCTATTGGGCCTTCCTTCATTATGGGCTCAGTTGCTTCCGTTCAGAACTAGGCTTTTTTCTTAATTTTATCACCCTGGGCTCAATTAGTAAAGACTCGGTTCATAACAATGGTCTTTGTCCGGCCCGCTCATAACCTCCTGGATCATACCCGGCCTAAGTCATTTTCGGCATCCTCAATTACATGATGAAAATGTTTAAAGAAAAAAAAAAAAAAGATATTTAAATTTATTGTAATCGAATAAAATATATTTTTAATATTATTATGCAAATTAATTAAATTATTATGTAATTAATTAATTAATTAATTAAATTGATAAGTCAAAAAGTAGGAATCTTTTATTTAAATAATTAATTAAATATTTATGCAAATTAAATGACTCTTTTTATTTATTTAGGAAAAATAACTCTTTTTTAATTAATTAAATTATGACTCTTTTTACATTAATTATTAATACAATACACATAAAAAAAACATAAGCAATATTTAAATAAATACATACAACAATTATTCTACACACCATCATATAATATAATTTTTGCATTTTATATTATTAATCACACACAAAGACCGACATTGTCAGGCGTACTCAATTCTCCATATGTGTAGTATCAAGTGTATAATATGTAGTGGGGCTCTAAGAGTGTGGAATGTGCACACCAAATACTTTGCTTCTCCACAACACCAGATATTATCCAAAGATGATTTGTACTGAGATGCTCTAAGAATAGTAAATAAAATTATAAAACATAGAAACATCCAAGTGAAATATTAATTAATTTCAGAGAAGATAAGTAAAATTTATCCATTTAAACTGTAAATCAATCCTCAAAGATTGTCAATATCCCACATTATGAATTCCATACTAATATAGTTTAAATTATATGTATATGCTAGTAGGGTTTCCTTCTTTCAAATAAAGAATATAATTCTTATTCCAATTTTCCAACCTATTTGTAATCTATAACTTCTCCGCAATGGCTCGAGACTCGGAGAGTTCAAAACCTCCCCCACCCCGACCCCAAAAAAAATAAAATTGTACTCCAATATTTAACCTAACCAATATATATATATATTCCCAACTTCATAATTACAACCCAAAAGCCAGCAATCAAAGAAATTATGTTATTGACATTCAGATCATCATCACTTCAACTAAATCTTTATGAATACTCTACCTTTTTTATGTTTATCCACCCCGCATAACGCAGCGCACTTATTGCGTTCGACAAAATTACTCAATGGAATGTGGTCACACTTGTTTAAAACAAAGCTCTTCCATTAATGGAAATTGCCATATGGCTATATTATTCCATTTGAGTCAGTTGCTGACTTTCATACTGACCAAACAACAAAAGGGTTTGACTACATTTATAGATGTCCTTCACATTGGAGGTGGGTTTGGATCATTTGGCTTGCTTTGGTCAGCCATTTATATAGTTTGTCTGAGTTGTTAAGCAAGGCTGCAAGGGTGGTGGTATATACTACCTATATTCTTGGGAAGTTATGAGAAATGACGTGTAATAGAAAAGATTGGAGAGAGAGAGAATTCATGTAGCCGACTCCCAAGAATGATGATGATTGTGTAGATTCATTATCAATATCTATCCAAGTAAATTTTATTTTGACATTTAATTTTTTTTAATTCAGTAGATTGCTGGTCCAGGCTTGGCTTTGCAAAATGTATCTTTGTGAAAGTTTTTGTGTATGGTATTTCATTTTCACCAAAATATTTATTCACTTGTAAGTTGTAGAAGTGTGATTACTTTTTCTGCCTCTTGTCTGATTTGGATTGTATTATTTGTCTTATTTGTAGTTTTAATCTTAATTCATCGAATTTAAACTTCATCAAAGCAGAATGAATTATCAAAATTCTTAGACTTCTGGTTTGGTATCTGTTTATTGCAAATATGGAAGATGACCCCCTCCCTCGAAAGAAAAAAAAAAGGGGGGGGGGGGGGGGGGGGGGGGGGGGGGGTGGAAACCCAAAGAAAGAAGGAAAATATAGTAGTATTTAGCAAATCACGCAATTGGGAATATATAAGAACTGTACATTAAAATTCTAAACAGGCCTTCCATGAAAAAAAAAAAAAAAAAAAAAAAAAAAAACAATCTAAAAGACTGAACATAACATTTTATACTAATATGAGCTCCAACTTACTCAACCCAAAGCTAAAATTGAAGCACTTTGCCTACATATCAGTTCAAGTATAACATTTGTTCGTCGAATAAGCAGCAGATGTCTCACTAGGACAAGGGGGAGAATCCCATTCCATATTAGGTTTCCATGCATCTGGCTGACTTGAAGGCAAACTGAAAGGAAATCCAATTGATTGGACATTTCCCCACTGATCATTAGCATGGGTTTCACTAGGATTCTTCTTCCTTAAGCTCTCGTCCTCTCCAATGCCTAAACTCCCTTGCATATCTTGAAGTGACCTGATTGAGGAACTGTTGAAGTGCTGTTGTGGTCCCTCAAAGTTAATACTATTGGGGGTTTTATTAACATCCCCCATTAAGGCAGGGGACAGGTTGAAAAGCATAGAAGAGGCATCAACTGTACACCTTTCAAGAGGTGAAAATATGAATCCATTGGGAAAATCTCCATCTGGAATAGGAAAAAGGGACGGTCTACAAATTGTTGGATTCATGGGTCTGCACGAGGGGATATCTAGAACAGAAAAACTAGCACTAGATGCCTGCTGTAGGTCATTATTGGAGCATAACTGCATGGATGATCCGGTTTCAGTTGTGCAAGAAATGTTTTCTGAACTAAATTGAGCAGAGTATGCACTTTGGGTATATATATCGGATGTTGTGGCTTCTTGTGGAGATACCCAAGAATGAGATAGAGCTCTCTGTGCCATGGCGTTAGCTTTCTTGAATATTCTACAAATTGCCCATGAATCCTGTGGAGCAAATGAGGAAATTATGAGTTATTTATCTATGATATGGTGTAGACGAGTGAAAAAAAAAGGATGAAAAACAAGAAAGAAAAATCCTTGTAGACTTACATTTGCTGAAAAGCTTTTATCTAAGAGCTTCTTGGGTGGTGCTGAATCAGAGATAGAAGGTAGTCGGAACTCGTGCATCATCCAGTCAGTTTTGATCCCTTTGGCAGCTCTGCCTCTGTAGAACACTAGGGATTTCTTCAAACCGATGCACTTGGCGCCATCAGAGGAATATATTGGCCGGTCCGTTCCTGTGGCTTTCCAGAACCCAGCTCCTGTGACACGGTTTGGCCGTGCACTGTTTCTGTATTTACGGTCCCTTGGGCAGTAGAAATACCACTCCTTCTCCCCGGTGGACACCAGCTCTGTTGAGATTTTGAGAGGAAAAGGAAGGAACTCGTATTAGTAGGGATCTTGAAGCTAAGCATACTTGGGAAGTAGTTGAATAAAGGATTACAACTTCTGAAGGTTGTGGTCCTTCAAACTTTCAGCTAATAATCAGAGAGAAAACGATTGCAGTGTCCCAAAAGTGAATATAACTATTTCAATATATTAAAACTGACCAATTGCAATTTGGAAGTAGTGGTTAAATTTTGTTCATTTTCAGAAACATGACAATTGAATCCTCCAAATAGGGAGAAGTTTTTGCCAATTCAACACCTTCCATGATATTTTTAGATGTAGTACTCTATTAGAAGCGAAGGTAAGAAAACTCCTCTGGTTAGGCGGCTAAAACAAACTGAAAAAGTGAAGACAAATTATAATTATTTATATAAACTAGCTCCATCACTTACATTTAATTTTAATGGGGGGGAGGGAAGAGTCATACATTGGAAATAAGTTATCTTACTTGGAAGATCCCATGGATCGTATTTGTAGATATCCACTTGCTTAATCAGCTCAATGGGAAGAGATTTTTGTTGAATCTTCCTCTTCAGGTAGAACCCAACAAGCTCCTGGTCTGTAGGATGAAATCGAAATCCTGGCAACATAAAGTCATCAAGCTTCTCAGCATCATTCTTCTCATTCATGTTCTCTTCCTTCCTCTAAACCTCCCCTTACAAACCAAACTTTAGAAAGGCGCGGAGGTGTGAAATACACTGAAAATTATTTGAACTGAACTTCAGAAGTATGTGTTATGGTCAATCTGAAACTAAAGCCAGTTTTATACTAAAAACAAGAAGCTTTAGGAAAACCAAACTAAACCCCCTGGTGAAAATCTAGAAAACTATTAATGCTACAATGAAACAGCTTAAGCCGCGAAGAAATTCAATGGCATCAACTCAAAGAGGCGAACTTCACAGTAAAATCACTTGGTTCAAATTCATTACGTGCTTTGTGAGGAGAAGTCTGCCTCAGAAGAAGCTTCAGTGACAGAGAGCGTATATATTTCTGCGAAAATGAGTCACATAAGAAGCTTAAAGCTGAGGTGTCTCTTAAAAGGAGCCACAAAGGAAGGAACCCAAGTCAAGGCCAACGACTCCTAATGAAGCTCACTTCCCTTTGCGAACCCATTTGGGCTTTTGGTTTAAAACCAAATTAATGATCGCAAGACTACAAACTCAGCAGCTTATAGGGATTTTCAAATCAAATTTTTTGTGTCCACACTTGTCATGCTCTTATTATGTACGCTTCTCCTTATTTTTTCTTCTAATCAAGACAAAATGACAAACCTATCTTCTAACGGCTACAGTAAAATAATGTTTATCTGAATTGTTTTTTGCTAACTATTCATAGAACCATTTCCAAATACAATATCTCAAAATTTATATTCAATCGAGGGATTCTCTGCAAATTCCTCTGATACCCCTTTGAGTTAAAACATATTTTGATTTCCTTGGATCCAAAAATGAAACCTTCTATTCCATTTGTCATAGAGTTTCCATTCCCTCATTTACTCTGCCAAGATAAGAACACGTGGCCTGTAAGAATACGGGGTAATTTTGGATCTTCTGGAGATTCCTTAAACAAGTGAAAAAAAGAATTGACGTGGAAGGGCCTACTGACCCTCATGAGATTATAGTAAATAATCATTTGACACTTGACAACCAGAACCTCTCTTTCAGGGCTGCTTTAATAAACTGTTGCCGTTTAAATAATTGAATTTTTGGTTCTGACCAGGCTGTTAGGAAGTTAGTTGCAATGCACAGTTTCACTCTACTTATAAAATTAATGAAGCTATTCATAGTCATGTGTTTTATATTCAATGCTTCGAGACAATAAGACTATTCAAATTTAGTTTCACATGGAAAAAAAAGTAATTTCTTTTTTACATTTCATCTTTTTAGTATCATGAGTAAATAGATTTTAATCTTTGGAAGGTAATTTTAAGGTCTACATGCTTGACTTAACATGCTGTATCTCTGATTGTATTATATATATATATATTCATGCTTACCTATGTTTCAAACAGACGATTTCCCAGCACCTTCCTTTGGCAGCCTATATTTGAAGAAAATTATTCATAGTCATGTGCTTTATTTTCAATGCTTCGAGACAATAAGACTTCAAATTTAGTTTCACATGGAAAATATATAGTTTCTTTTTTATCATGAGTAACTAGATTTTAATGTTTGGAAGGTAATTTTAAGGTCTACCTGCTTGACTTACCATGCTGTATCTCTGATTGTATTATATATATATATATATATTCATGCTTACCTATGTTTCAAACAGATTTCCCAGCACCTTCCTTTGGCAGCCTATATTTGAAGAAAATGAGTTAATTTTGCAATTAAAGTTGATTGAAAATTGTATTTGTGTTGTTAGGCAAACAGTTTTAAGTAGGAGAGTGTTGGTTCTATAATGCACCTTCACAGGGTAAACTGCCACAGTTCACCTAAATGTAAGAAACCAATCGTTCAAATAGTTGCGTTCATTGTTTGACTGCAATGTCATACTGACATCATAAATAACTTATCAAAATTAACAAAAACTTTGTAATATAGGGAATTGAAAATATCTCATATATATGATTATTATTTTTTATTATTATTTTTTCTTTATCTGGGCAATAATACACCTTTTGGCTTTTTACACTTTTACCCATATAAAAACTTCAATTCTCTTTCGATTTGAGAAGTTGAAGAAATAACTTTTTGTGGTGTATTTTTCATTTGGTAACTTTGAATCTTTGATTGTATATTAGGATTTATAAAATTGGAGTGTATATATGTTTTTCTTTTTCTTTTTATTTTACCTCATTCTTTCCAGGAAAATAAAAGTTAAATTGGCCTAAGTATTACAGAATATATTGCAATTCAAATTTATTACAGGTTTGATTGTTTATTTGTCCACGCCTTTGATTATCTTTATAAATCAAAAGACTCAAGTACATATATATTAACAATGATGATGATGTCGGGTTTCTTAAAATATCCTATAATCAACACATACAGTCCGTTTCATATTAGGTAATTATCATTATTATTAGTCTAGTTTGTTTTTTTGGAATTCAGAGTTCCTCATTTTCAATTTTTTGGTAACTCCAAAGCCCAGTTTTAAGAAGCCGCGATTCTTCGAGAAAATAGGAACTAAGAACATGGTTTTTTTTTTTAAAATGCCAGCTTGCCCATGTTAATATTTAATTTGGCACATGCAATTCATGTGACTTTCAATGTCTAGAGAACTGAGTCCATCAATTATATTAGCAAAAAGATCACTTGCTTACTTCTTAATTTATTTTCTTCTAACTATTGATTAAATTTGGTAACCATGTAGAAGCAATGAACCATGAATAAACAGAGCAGAAAAATCTTTGACTCAAATACCCAAATGGGAGAGACTCCAAATTTAGTGAAATTCCGAAAATTTAGCCCTCGTTTGGAACCCTTGCCCTAGGGTTTTCAAACCATGCGTGCAACCCCAGTTGAAAAATGGGTCAATTTCTTCAAACCAAAGCTTCCCTACCATGTTCCCAATGAAAGTAATTTCACATTTTAATTGTGGACTATAACCAAGCTTATAATAATTTTAATAGTCCCTTAACTTTTATCATAATAATTTTCTGAATTGGTCCAACTGAATTCATTGGACTTAGATTCATGCTACTTTAAATTCTATGTAAAAAGTCTAATCACCTATTTTCTTGATTGCATATTACGATTTCACAATCCAAATTTGTCATTTATTAGAGTGCACTCTAATGGGCAAAGCTTTAAAAGTGAATGTTAATAACATAGGACTAAGGTGTCAACAACATTAAGAAATTGATTTACATATTATTGATGATAATAATGTCGAGTTTTATAGAGCACTTCATAATTTATTATCAGATATATACAGTCTCCTATCCTACATGTCATTAAGCTATTCCGTGAATTCCTTCGTTTGATTCACAAATACTATTTATTAGTGAAACTTGAGAGTTATCTGATTGAAAGCAACCTTAATTCATTATTTGGTTACTTTTATAATCCTACCAATAAACTAGGTTGTTTGCATGTTAAGTTATATTTAAACCCCATCTTTTAGTCAGTACAATGTGAGGCTACCAGAGATCTCCGTGTAACCATCCTAGGCAAATAAATAATCTTAGATATCAATCAAGGTTGGCTCATAATCCAGAATTTGAACGCTAGAAAAAATAATAATAATAATAAAAATTAAGTTCCAGAAATTTGTTTCTTTGTGTGGTAGCTATTGAAGGGTGCAAAGCATGATATGGATGAGAAATTGTATTTAATGAATAGATTATTTATTGGGTATGGGGTTAATTTCAATTCGATTATGATATTTAAGATTCCACTCTAGTGTTTAAGAACTGGAAGCAAAAGAGCAAACGACAACACAAAAAGAGACAAGTTTGGTGAATAAAATGATTTGATGAAATTTTAAAGTATATGACCAATGTCACAATTTCTCATGATCAATTAGTCTAATATAATTTGGTGGTCTGGTTTGTCTGAGACCCCATCAAGAGGTGACCCATGGATTAAATGGCTTAACCTTTTTTTTCTTTTTTTCTTGGTTTTTTTTTTGTCTTAACCAACTTTAGAAAACTATTCACCTAAAAAAAAAAAAGAAAAAAGAAAATTAATCAATTAATCATAAACCAGATTGATGGGATCTCCGAGACAAATGATTTCATCATCATAAGAATAATAATAATACCAATTCAAAACGACAAATGAATGGTTATGATTTTGGTACGTGAAGTACTATCCTACAAATATATGTTTTCTTGTACCTAATTGTATAATTAATAAAATTCTGAAATAATATCTGAAAGGGGGAGAGAATTGGAGTTAGGACCCAATGTTGAACGAAAAAAAAATTAGAACCCTAAAGTCTCAAATTTTCTTTTCCATGGAATAAGCAATTCTCTGTTGACTTTGTGGAACTTTCTGATCTTGTTTTTAAAGTTTTGTCTCTTCTTTATTAACTAGGACATCTTAGTTTATTCATAAAATCTAATTCTGAAAACATGTAAATTTTACTAAAAAATAAAATGGAACCACAATTTTGTCCTCAGTGTTTCAGGTAACTTTCTTATATACCTTTTCAAGTAATTTGTAGGTTTTTACACACCTAGTACAGAGATTGCTTAGTTTCCTTTTATTTATAGTTTGTTTGGTATTTAATGCTCCAATGGACACATCATTTTCGTGAATATAGTAGGCCTCAAACTGATTAGTGATGGCTTAGCATTTGTAGTAACCATTAACATTCTAATTATAAAGGACTTGATCCAATTTGAAGGAGTACTTGAGCTAACTTTCTCTCGTGTTACAAGCTTTAATGAAATGCTAAATTTAATCAGGAATATTTTAGTAATTTTATTATATGAAAGTTGCAGAGAGAAAGTGTTGGTTGTATTTGGCTGATAAGTCGTACATGTTATGCATGCGTACAAACTCGTATTGTGTGTGCACAGATCGAATGAGTCGCTCACCCAATATCTAATAGTAGGAGAGGGCATGTTTTTAACCCACACCCTTCGAATTATACCACTTAAAATTTGTCCCTGCAGAGGCAGGGCGGGTAATTTGCTAACTCTGATGTAAAAAAATGCCACCATTGTTAATGAGTCGTATGGTACTTGGTCTTGCGGGTCGCTAATCTGCACTTAGGAATGTACATTGCATTATTGTTTATTTGACATGGGATTGTTACCATTATTTCATATCACACGCCGACAATATATATATATATATATATATATATATATATATATATATATATATATTAGGAGTGGTAAATGGGTGGGTTGGCCGGGTTTTGGTTAGGTTAAAAATGGGCGCGTTAAATATGGGTCAAAACTCATTTTCAACTTGTTCAGCAAATGGGCGGGTTGAGCCGGATTTGGGCTGGGTTGAAAATATGAGGGTCAAATATGGGTCAAAACTCGTATTCAACCCGTCCAAAACGGGTTAAAATGGGCGGGTCAAAAATATATAGGATCAACCCTTTATGACATATGGACCCATTAATTATTATTATTTTTAAAAAATTTAATTTTAAAATTATTTTTTTAAGTTTTTAATTATTTAAATTTTTAATTTTTTTGATTTTTGATTTTTTAATTAGTCTTATTTTCCTGAAAGTTTTAAAATTCTATTTAATAACAAATAAAAAAATAATCTTAAACTCAGCAATATTTATTGACTCGTTTTAGAGAGAGAAGTGAAGAAAAGAAAAGAAATTAAAAAAAAAAAGAAACTTAGAGAGAGGGGACTGATGAGAGACAAATTTAAGAGAGGAGGATCGTGAGTGAGAATTTTAGAGAGAGAAATAAGTTGAGTGTAATATAGACTAGATGTGTATTGTGTGTTTACTATGTGATGGATGAAATATGGGTTGACCCTCAAATTAAGTGATTAAAAATTACCGAACCCATTTTTGACCCATTTTAAATATGGTTCACCCAAAACTATTAAAAAGCAAATGGATATGAACGGGTTGATAAATTGTGACCCATTTTGCCTCCCCTAACATACACAAGCATTTGTGGCCTCAATTTATTCATTAAGCATCTTGCAATTTTTAATTTTTAATTTTGCAGGTATCTGCCTGCAGTGAAATCTGTAATTCGATTGCGGCATAACATTTTCTGGTTTTAGTTCATTCTCTGAGCATCTTTCTAATTCTTTCAAGCAATGGGAATTTGGTACCTTCTTTGGGATATGGTGCACTAAAATCACTAATGCGATTGAGTGGTGTTTGTAAATCATGGTATGCTCTCACCCGATACCCCAGTTTCATCACCATGCACTTCAATCAAACTATATTGAATGGTTATAATGTTCATCTCCGGTCAAGCATTACAATAAAATTGCAGGAAAAATACATTTTATTTTTATTTCTAAAAGAATGAGGCTATAAATTTAAACTTTGAGTTTTAGACTCCAGAATATAAGGGTAAACATTTAATCCACCAATATGTGAGTCTGATTTGATCAGATCGAATTGTTAAACTTACAAGTGAGTAATGATGAATTCAATATTATGAAATTTGTACTTCACGAATCGGATTACGAATTGTGTGGTTAAAAATCCAATCCGTAATCCAATATGTGGGATTTATATATATATTCTAAGTATATATTAATTACTGATCTTTTAAATTAAAATTAATTAATAATCATTTAATGGACTCTAAAAATGCATTAGTTAATAATTATTTAAATATATAAATTAATATTTAAATTTTGAAATTTTATTTATTGGGCCATGATTAAAAAATAATAATATTGGACTATTTGGAAAAATCCTAAAATGTGGATCCAATTCATTCCGTTATTCCATAAATCCGATCCGATTCACCATCACACAAATTAAGAACCGATTCAAAATTTTTCAATCCACTGAGACATGGCCACCCTACTAGAACATATACATGTCATGGGTTCTGTAACATTATATTTAGGGTTTGCTAGCTTAAAATTTAATTCAGCTAATCAATCAAGTAATTAGCCTACTGTTAGAGTGCAATCCACAAAATAAAAAATGGGAGTAAAGAGATCACACTATATATGTATATAATCAGAAAGAAAAAGAATTATGAATAGAAGATAACAACTTCAGAGAGTCAAAAATTGAAAGAGAAATATAACCCCAAAAGAAGATACATGTAAACCCAAACAAAGAAATTAATAAAAATAAAAATATTCACAAATTTTAGGTCGCTGTGATTTCAGTTGGTCACACAAGTGTAGGGTGAGAGTTTGCGTGTGTTGGTACTTTGTACTCTATACTAATACTAGCATGCAATTCACGGTTCAACAAGAAATGTGTGCAATTCTCTCATATGCATTGAAAAGCTTTATAAATAATACTTGGCTTCAATAGCCCTCCTTGGAGCTAGAGAATGAAAGGACTGTAAAGAGAGGAGTTAAAAGTGAGAGTTGCAGGGAACTGAACGTCAAAAAATAGAGGGTTTTGTCCTTCCCAATTTGAGGTTCGGTTTCCTCCAACATCTCACCTATCACCTACTCTTTGTACCTATAAATAAAAGCTCAATATGCATGTGTTCAAGTCGTACATGAGAATTGGACAAGACCAAACAGATTGGCATTGCGCGAGTGTATTCTGTTTGATTTCCTCCAATATCTCACCTCCGACTTTCGAATTATGATCAGTAAGGAAGAGGGAGGGTTTGTCCTTTGCAATTTGAAGCTTAGTTTCCTCCAGCATCTCACCTACCAGGGGTGGAATGAAGCCAGAATGTATTGAACACACAGGCACCAAATGCATCGAACAAGTTTCCAGTAAAACCCACCGTGGACTGCAATAATTCAATAACAACATTCCAACTTACAATTCCATTAACCAACGCCAATAAAATGAGTGTATCACACAACTTCAAGCAAGGTATCGATATAACTTCCTATCCACATTGTCCCTCTCTAAGAACTCCCGCTCAATAAGGGACTCAATTCGTTTCTTTATTAAAACAGGGTTCGGCAGGAATCGTGACTGAAGCTGCTTTGTCACTTCAGTAACTATATTGTTGTGATCCAGCACCCGCCGAGACTTCATGATCCTTACAATGGCTGCTTCAATCTGGGGCTTCCTGTCCTCTTCCACCCTTTGCCGGGTCTCCTGCTTCTCAGGTTCCGACTCCTTTTGTGCAACGACAGTGCCTATTTTTACCTTGTAGAACTTGCTAGTGAACTGCTCGTTTACTAAAAATGTATCATTCTCAGCAATGTTCTTGCTCATGGGTTCTTTTCGCAGAACATTCTTCCCCTTAACACAGGCCAAACTCTGCAGACACCTCTTTAAGTCTGACACAGGTATCTCTGTTGCCTGCTCAATTTCTTTATAGCTCTGCCGATCAGCACTGTTGAACAACATAAGGATACACATCTGATATGTGGAAACATTCAGCTCATGCTTTTGGCCCTTTCCAAAGGTTGCTTTCAGATCAGCAGTGCCCATATTTGTTTGCCAGGTCAGTCTCCGCCCACTATGAGCCCCAAGATAATACATCCGGAATTTTTCACACAACCCCAGGATTTCAGGTGGAAGGTTGCAAGTGGCACTCAACTGAGTTGGCCAAGACCCTGTAGTAAGGACCTGAACATGAAGTGTGGGGTTCTCTGCCATCTCAGAACCCATGCTTGCATAGAATCCCTGCATTGTGTCCTGAGATGTCTTCATATCAGTGAACATGCCTTCTAATTTAGATGTAAATTGATATCCACATTCTGTTTTGAGCTTAACTATCAAACTTCTCTCAGCATCTTCAGAGACACTTTTCCCTGACAGAAGCCTCTTCGCCAAATGTTGCTTGTAATACTTTTCAAACACATCTTTCTCTTGGAGGTAACGGAAAAGAATCATCACCTTGTCTAGTACAGTCTCTACGTCCTCCTCACTGACACCTTTCAGTCCTTTCCTGAGCTTATCATCCACAAACAAGGAAATGTACTCTGGTGACCGAGGATTTAAATTTATAAAATATACAAATGAGGAATTCAAAGCATTCTGGAATGTCTTGTCATAGTTAAATGCCAAACTGATAATCTTATCATACTTATCCTTTTCATCCAAGAGCCGCTGCACAAAGTCTACCGGATCCTTTAACCTTTCAGGATCAGTAACTAACTGCTTACCTGTATCTCTAGTGTGAGAAGTCATGACATCTCTAATTATTGAGAGTCCATTACTGACCCTGCGAAACAAGTTGTACATCCTTCCTAAGTCCTCATACTTGTCATCCACAAGCATATTAACTAAGCCAGAGTTCTCCATATGCACTAATTGATGCATATGACTCTTGATCATCTCCTTCTCCACGACACTAGTGATCTTAGCTTCACTTTTTGCATCCAAATATTGCGAAACTCTCTCAATCTCTTCATTCAGACGCCTCTCAGTTTTCTTTAAATAATCCCCACAATCACAACACTCGATGAAATGCTGAGATTCACCACGGTAAAAGTCGGCTGAAACTTCAAGAAAAGGTTTCTCAAAGTCTTCTTGGTAAACAGAAAAACCCAAATCCATTAGCATTTTTATTATATTCCTCATCAAACCCCTGTTTATAACTTCACCAGTTCTTTCTCTCTGCACAATTTCAAGGAGTGTATCCTGAAGCCTTGTTTGGATTTTGATAGAGTGGATAACATTGTCCCTCCACAAGTTCAAGCCAAGCTCATGAACCGGGGTTTTGCGATTACATGGGATGAAAGTCCTGTCCATGTACATCAATATGTCCCTTATCATTTGCAGTGCCTTGTTGTGTTCTGCCCATTTCCTGTTCAGTTCTTCCAAAAACAAGCCTCCCTGAGCAGCCTCAATTGATTTTGCTATTTCTTTAAGATGTGATGTCATAGTTGACACAAGTCCAGAGTAGAGTTTGTCTCCAAATTTGTGCAAGACCATATTGTATGCATTCCTGAATGTACACCAGATACTAAAAAATCAGTAGGGAGATTAAAGATGCAAAAGAAATTGGCAGTAAGCTAGAAGGGTCTGACAGGCCTTTACAATTGCAACATCTCATATATGAAATACTTAAAATGGGATTCCAGGCAAATCACCATATAGATAAGAAACTGAACTGAGTAATAAAAACAGGCCTCGCGTCTTAAGTGAAATTGTTACAGGAGAAAAACTAGACTGGATACCAAAAGGACAATATCCTTTCCTCGGTCCTTCCATAATGACCTACCAAATGAAAAAATATATAATGACAAGCTTCTTCCATTATGTATAACTATCACCAACTCTAAGAACAAAAAAACAAGATTTCAAGGAACTCAAGAATTTCAACATGTAGCACTTATCAATTGGGACAAAGTAACGACCAGGCCTCCAACTTTATTAGGTGGGCTTCAATTCCTGGAATGCCCTAATGCTTGGAGGAAATGATGAGTTGGTGAGTTAAAAATCCATCAGACTTGCAGTTCTTGTGCCACCAGAATATGACTGTATCAAGAATTTAGAAAAATAAACAAAAATCCTTTGTCATCCCAACTAGACCAACAAAAGTGATGTTTCTTGGTTGCCCAGCACCACTACATAAACCAAGGCTGATCTCACTGTTCATTTACGACTAACACAAACACTCTGTGCACATCTTTACTTCAGCTGCCCAACCCTAATTCTCCAAGTAATATCCAACTCAAGCTCTCTCTGATCAACACAAATTATAAAAATGATCCCATTCTAAGTCCTGGTGTTATTAAAATTGTATCTCATTTATTCTAATTTGATCCCGCTTAACTTGAAACCTATGCATTCAAAGATGAGACATCTTGGACAGGCTTCACAAAGGAAACTAAACTAGAGTATAAGCTTTCCAGCATCCATAATAAATGGAAAAGAAAGATTACAATCGGGGATCATAACAAGGGAAGCATGTGCACTATGCTCTACACTGGTTCAATTCATTTACATACAAATCAAATCAAATGCCTTCAAGCAAACTCTTTATGTGTAATAAAAAATAAAAAATAAAACAAGCATCACCATAACAACTTGTGCCCAACCAGTGTCAGACCCAGCAAATTGTATGAGGGGGTGGCCTTGAACAAGAAGAATATATAGTGGGATATTATCAAAAATTAAGTGGTGGCATTTTTTAGATTTTAACAAAAAGTATAGGTAATTTTGTAAATAAAATAAATTTCAGTGGGCAGCTGCCCCCACTGGTCCCTTAATAGGTTCGTCCCTGTGGCCAACGTTACATCGCTAAGGGAATAGGATGGGTCCAAATTCAAGCCATCTACTTATCAGATTTTGAACATCGGAAATATTCCAGGTCATTCTAGATTGGTTAAATATAATTTCCCAGTTTGAAACATCTTACATGTGAAAATCAATATAGTCCGCCAAAAGGATGTAAAGAAGGCAAAAAATCAGACCTATGATTTAAGAGAAGATATGACTATATATTAGAGGTGAATGGCAAGTAACTAGGATATAAGTTTTGGTTGAGTTGATGTGCCATATATAACAATAAATGAAATTTTGAGTAATCTCCTTGCACTTTTTTTTTTCATAGTTGATACTCACACACACATGCCTCCATGGAGACTTGAACCATTGACTTCCCTTTGGGAGGTAAGGGTCTAATACCGCTAGGCCACTGGCCCGTTGGTAATCTCCTTGCACTTCATCAACGAAGAAAGAGTTTTTGGAAAAAAATAATGTTCAAGGACTCTTCATTAATTTGGAGAAAACAAGGAACCATCCGCATAACAATTCTATTCTCTTACATAATATGACATGTCTCAAAAACTCCAGGCATATTTACAAATATGAATTTCAAAACGGTCAATAACAGCCCAAAAGGACCAAAGATGTGAGAGAATTTCTGTATCTGTTAAGTAGAGAAATTTTGAATAAGATAGCTTGCTTTTCTTTTCTGTTGTTCTCTTATTCACATCCCTATATCTTAAGATGGCTTCAGAAATATTCAATATCTGGACAAGTACACAGAAGCTTCATCAAAAGGTAAAATCTTAAAAGCCCAAAAGGAGCCAGTTCCACCATCAGATCACAATTTTAACATCAACCTATATTGGAACCTAACAGTCCACTTCCTGAATCAAAAATAAATAAATAACGATAATAATAGATGAGTTTTTTTGTTCTAGTAGAATACTCTTGAGTCATTCGATGGAGGAGAAAGCACTTTAAATGGCATATGTAACTATTGGGCTGGAAACAAAGCTTGGTCTTTTTAGATAAAATATAGAACAAATTTTGCTCAAATATAAGCAAACTCATAAACATTCCCTAATGTGTATATACATAATTAGTGCATATGGCAATATACTAAAATAAATATGCGCTCACAAGACAATATGGAAATAGATACGGACAGAAAAATGTATCAACTTAAGTTACAAGCTATTGGACCAACCAACAAGAGCAGAGGTAAGAGAGCAGTTAAGAAAGAAGACACTATTACTGCTACTGTAAACATAGGGTAAGAAAAGAAGAACCGGTCACAAATACCAAATGCAAACAGGAAAAAATAAATAAATCGACCACTGATCCAATAAAATATCCAGCGATAACCAAACTCAAGGGATAGTAACCATGAACTGATCCCCCAACAAAATACCGGGACCCACCCCAAACATATGTTTAAATAAGATCATTTTTCTCTTTTCTTCTTATTTTATTTTTTACTTTTTTTTGGGAGGGTGTACTAATGTGTATATCATAAATGTTTAGAGGTTTCAATTTTATTATTAAAAAACTGCACCATATTGCATTACTTTATCTCGTAGGAAAGAAAATTAATATAAATGAAATGGAGAATCGCACAATTAGGACAATAAAGATTCAGTCTTAGACAAAAGAGGCATAACAATACACAGAATCCAACAAGACACATATCCAAACTAAAAGACCCCCACACCTCCTCAACGAAGATAGAAATGGGCTCTGAAAAATGATAACATATATGACGTTTGCTTCATCAAAATCACCTCTTCATTAGCCCAATTGGATACCCAACAATCCTCCTTTCTAGGCCCAAAGAGGTAAGAATAGTGTCATCTGACAAGCAATCAGGAATTCCACCCAATCCATCCATTTTACGGCTAAAACAACCACCATAATTTGGAGAAAACTAAGACAACATTGCAATACCATTATGATTTTTGGGAACACCACCGACATCTAATTGATTTGGACTCCACATGGTAAAACGAATCATAATTGATCAAATTCTCACTCCTGACAGATGAAAGCAGACTCATACTAAAATGTTCAGTTTTAGAAAGAGCTCAAGTTACTCAATGAACTGCATATCTGAATATGACCTAAAAAAAATATCCTTAAATTTTAAATTCTAAAGATTCAGTCACTTAAAGTCTTCAACAATAAATTATTCAATACTCAATTTTCATTTTAACAATCAGCATTTAGTAATAGATTTTGGTTTCAATAGTATAAATATGATTTGCTAATAATCCCAGAGACAGCCTCAAGCATTGATACGACAATAAAATGTAAAAGCAATAAAATTAAACATTAAAAAAAGCAAACTAAAAATCAAAACTGTAAAATTCTTGACAAAAATGAAAACAATAACAAGAGTAGTATAAGTAAATCCAAATAAAAAAAAAAAAGCAAACCTGTAAAGCTCTTCGAAACTAAGCCCACTTGCATTACGATTGTAAATTTCGCGAATCGCATGCTCCAAAACTTTCCAAGTCTTCTCTGCGTATTTCGGGTCCAACACCACCCGATGTCTATACGCTTCTATCTGAAAATTCCTCTTCTTCTGATTACTCATCCTCTCAATTCCAGATTATGACAACCTATGTATCCAATTATAACTCAAAGATCATAAATCTTTTGATGATTGGGGTTTCGATTCTTGAAATTTCAAGATGAGACCAGAGCCAAAGGTAACAGAAAATCAAATAATAAGGGTTTGAAATTAAGGGAATTGATGGAAGAAGATGTGAATTGACTGATATGTACAAGCATCATCAATCGAACCTATTGGAGTCTTTTGTTATTCGAGTTTCAATTCATGAAATTTAACAGAGCCTAAAGAAACAACAAGAAAAAATATAAAAATTTAGGGTTTGATATGAAGGCAATTGATGGAAGAAGATGTGAATTGAGTGAAACGTAAAAGGATCATCAATCAAAGACATTGGAGTGTTTTGTTTGCTTTTGTTTTCTTATTCATTTTTTTTTTTTTTTTTTTTTTTTTGGGAAAAGTGCAAACAACCCCCTAAACTATTATAAATCGACAATTTACCCCCTAGACTACAAAAATGAACAAGTTAATACCACAACTATCACAAATCGTACAAATTAATCCCTGAAACACAATTCCGGCCACTTTCCGGCCCACAAGGTCTGCACGTGACTGTATTTTTCTCTTAATTTCGAAATTGCCCTGCAATATTACCGTTGTAGCCCTTTGCCTATAAATTAACCCATTTCAACATTTTCCTTCTTCCATATCATCATTTGCCTTATTTTATCCTGCTTTTCCACTTTTACACCAAATACTCAGACTAATTTGAAAAACAAAGTTGAAGGTAAGATATACATGTATATATATATACATATATGTGTGGGTGTGTTTTTTGTTTTATATATATATATATATATAATGTCCTATATGTTACAAGGCAATACACCTCTGTATAATGTAGTATATTTTAGTCTTTAATTTTTGTTTTTTTTTTTTAAAGTTATATAGTGAGTATGAATTTATGAAGTTGTATAAATTGTTTATAGGCATATAGAGCCATCCATGACCTCAAGAAGTTTGAATAATGTACCATATCGTGGTAGAATGCATGAAGATTTGTATTGCTACTGTGGAGTAAAATCTCCTTTGAGAATAACAACAACTACTGCAAATTTAGGGCGAAGGTTCTATGGATGTGGAAGCTATCCAATACGGTCTTGTAGGTTCTTGAGATGGATAGATCGCCAACATAATGAAGATGAAAGAGAACTTAATTGGAGTAGAATGGAAAGAAAGGTAGTTATGAGGACAATATAATGTTTAAGAGCAGAAGCTGCGATGAGAAACTTGGATATGAACTTGGAAGTGGAACAACCTGTAGCAAGTAGAATAACTATAAACACTGTAATTACAAATTTCAATTTTTCATGTTAGGATTTATATCATGTGGTATTATGATGTTAATTGTGTGGTTAGTTAATAGAATGTAATGTAATAAATATAATTGGAAGTTATTATTATTTTTTCAACATGTGCACATTGCTAACAGTAGGACACTTTAACACGCAGACAAAATATATATGCACATTGTCAATTATTACACCAACCAAGCAACATAATAAAGTTCTCACTGCACCAACATAGCAACATTATAAAGTTCTCACTGTAACACAAGTACAATAATAAAACACAACTGCACCAAGTTTATAAGAATAATAAAAGTCACACAACTGCAATAAAATAACACAACTGCACAAACTTGTTATAATTAATAAACCATTATAGCATCAGCAATATAAACCATTGTACCATTACAGACATCAACCATTGTACAATCATAGACATCAACCATTGTACCATCACAGACATAAACCATACGAAAATACAAGAGGTGTGTGCTGCCATTTACAGCTAGCAAATCATACCAAAACACAGAAAAAACAAAACACAACAAAAGCTGTGTGCTGCCATTTACAGCTAACAAATCATACCAAAACACAGAAAAAACAAAACATCACAAAAGCTGTGTGTTGCCATCTACCAAAACACAGCAAAAACAGAACATTGGGATTAAAAGCTGTATGTTGCCATCTACCAAAAGTTGTATAATGTCATCTGCCAAAACATACCAAAACACAGCAAAAAACATCAGCTGCATACTCTAATGTCATACTTCTCACTGATAGCATGAGCCCTCAAGTCCACTCTGAACTTTTCTGCTGATTCATATTTTTTTCCCACTTCAAAGCCAATAACCCTTGGATTCTACCAGCCTCCATCATTATTCTCTTCCTCATCTTCATTTTCAAATGAGCCCTTTAAACTTTGAAACTCATCACTTGGAGCATATGTTGATTCAATGTCAGAAAAATTGTATTCCCTTTCATGCAGATCAAGGTCATCAAGATCCACCCCAGAATTGGCATGTTCATTGTTCTCAGCAACAGTAGGCTCCACCTGACCATCTTCATGTGCCATTTCATTTTCCATCTCAGCAATTGTAGCCTCCACCTCAGCAAATTAATGTTCCATGTCACCTTCCATCTCAACACCTTCCATCTCAGCATCATACCCACACTTTATCTCAATATCTTCTATTTTAGCATTATACCCATGCTCTATCTCACCATCTTCTATCTCAGCATCAATTAAACCTTGTTTCCCATCACCATTGTTCATTGACAACTCAACATTACCATTTGCCACCTTAGTAGCCCATTCTAGGATTTCATCTTCCCACTCAGCATGCTCTGATCCATCCCTCTCCCCATCAACCACTTCAATATTAGGTGAGATGATAAACATTTTAATTAAACTAAACCTCTAATGACAACTAATGCAGCCTAAAACATCTTCATCCTTTAATATTTGTTTAATCCCTTCATCACTACTCACCATTGGATTCCTATAATATAATTCACTCCCCATATCATCATACCTAAGCTTCTTCACCACACGATTCAGATCAAAAGAATTTAAGTAATCCAGATCTATATTATGAATCAAAATTACAGTGCTACCTGTATAATTAAGGGGTGTGCCCTTAAAAGATCCTCCATGGTGTACCTCCAAACTAACTAACCTAGACATGATCTATAACAAAAAATAAAATTAATTAATTAGAATTGCAATTAAAATTAACAAAACAGAAGACAATGACCTACCTATACAATAAACTATGTAGATGACAAATACAAAATAATGACAACAACTACAACACATGGACAAAAAGCAAAAGCCAAACCCCAAAAGCACAACACAATGACACACAGTGGGGTTAATACACTTTAAGAAACATAAAGGCAGTACCAAAAAAATCCAATTATTGTGCTGACAGTACCAAAAAAACCAATCCAAAAGAATTCATACATTAAAATGACCCATGTATATTATATAGACAAAAATATATGCACATGCTTGCAAATATCTCAATTATTGCAAATATCTCAATTACTCATGCATTATAAAAGTTTGATATCAATATTTTGGAAACCCTACCAACAATCACAATGTAAAACAAAGCCCATACGTATGCAAAAATATCTACTACAAACCCTTTATAGAAAAAATCTCAGAAACCCTAGAAATTTAGTCACACTTAGTATTCAGTAACCCTAACAAACAATAATATCAAAATAACATAAAAATAATACACAAAGTAGCGATTTTGAAACTAAAATCAACCTTTGGAATAGTAAGCACACTTACGATTCAACCCTCTTTCTTGTACGATCAATTCTAAGACTTCAAATTTCTTCAATCTTCAATACAAAACCACAGTCTTCATCGCACTTAGAAGCCCTAGATTTGCGACCTTGTAGCTTCTCTTCTCTAAGCACTGAATAGACAGGGTTACAACTTCAACACTTAGGCAACGTTTGGGAAAACTAAGTGCTTAGTATATCCATGAAGGGCATTCACGGTATTTCACTCTTATTATTTATTTTCGTATTTTTTCTCTTAATTACGATGGGTAGTTTTGTAAATCTATAATGAGGTCGGCCGAAAAGTGGCCGGAATTGCGTTTCAAGGGTTAATTTGATGATTTGGATAATTGTGGTACTGACTTATTCATTTTGTAGTTCAGGGGAGTAAATTGCCGATTTCTAATAATTTAGGGGGGTTGTTTGCACTTTTGCCTTTTATTTTCTTTTTTTTTTTTTTTGTTTTTTTTTTGTTTGGGTAAAGTACAAGACACCCCCTGAGGTTTGGGGTAAAGACAAACAAATGAAAGTTAGCCCATTTTTGGACAACCACACCCCCTTGTGAAATTTCTCATCCAAACAAAGCCTTAAAATATGTGAAAAGTCCATTTTACCCTTCCTTAATTTATTAATTTTAATTATAAAATATCAAAATATTTAAATGACCAAATTACCCTTTTCATCTCTATATATATATATATATATATATATATATATATATATATATATATATCTTGTTGTCCTTTTACCCTTTTAAACAAATATAGAAATCGGTTGCAAATCCATTTGAAATGGAAAGAGGATCCTCAGGTTAAAAATATAAGTGGTGAAATGAAAGAACGAAACATTGTTGTTTCGCCCAAATTTGGTTGCCTTAATCGGCCAGTACTATCCCAAATTGGTTGTCTTAACCAAATCCTTTGTTGTTCCGATGATTATGAAAAAAGTGGTCTAGTACTGAGGGCTGCAATATGATGTCCAGAGCAAAATATGAAATCAAGCCACAGACAAGTTTTCTAGATCAAACTTGCAAACAGAAACAGGAACCTTAACAGTTTCGCGACTAAAACTGGGGTTGGTATATCGACTAAATATATCTATATATATACACACACATATAACAATCACCACCACCCCTAACCCAGACCCGAAAGCTTCGGCCATGACACCACCTCCACACCTTCCAACCGCCGGCCGACGAACGGCTCACCATCTTCATCGGCAATTGATGTTTCGCTCGTTGCGGGGCTCTGTTATGGTCGATCCGTGGGTACAAATTTGATCGGGCTCCATTTTTTCATGGTTTTGCTGCGGGGAAGAATCCATCGCCTTTTTGAAGCCACCGTCTCACATCGCCGTCGATGTCTTGAAGTCGCCGTCTCACATCGTCGTCGTCGTGGGTTAGGTCAAGATTAGGCTCCAATTTTGAGCGCCATTGTGGGTTAGATCAATATCGGGCTCCAATTTTTGGCAATTTTGTCTTCCTTGCTCGTCATCGTGATGAATTGATAATGATGATGTTGAGGGATGATGTTGATATATGTGACTGCGTGATTTCTGGTGGTGGTGGTGGTGATATATATATGAGTATGTATATGTTGTGTGTCTATACAGACAATATACATATATATATTATAGTAGTTGTTTGAGTTAGGGTTTGAGAGAGAGGAAAGAGAAGAAGAGGGTAAGGATATTTAAGTCAATTGCATTTGTTAATTTTATATCAAAGGGTAATAAAGTCAATTTACTA